GCTCACGGCCGCGGTTGCTCCCCCCGTCCCGCATGAATCCGATGCTCCTGGGGGCAGGCGCCCCAGACCCGCGCGAGGGGTTGGGGGTGATGAGGACCTTCCCCCCCGGCATGTGCTGCATGTGCCTCCTCGTCGGTTGAGTTGACCGTTTTCTGTTCTGTTTCTAGACTCCATCCTCCATCTTTTCTTTTTGTTTTGGCTCCGGCTGCCCCTTGCCCCCCCGGGGGCTGCCGCCCCCCTTCCCGCCGCTTCTCTTTTCAGTTCTCCACCACCATGGCCCTTGCGTCCGCGTCTTCCCTTCCCGCAGGGAAGGGCTCTAGCCCACCCGCAGGTAAGCATGCACCGTGCGCGCCCTACCCAAGCGCGCGGCCGTGCGCAGCCACGGCACCCGACCCCGGCAGGGGTAAAATCAGCCTGTTCCCCCTCAAAAAAGCCCCTCCGTTGGGCGGGGGCGCCGGACTCTGTGCTCGCACCGTGTTCCCCACGTCCTCTGGCTTCCCCCGGCTTTGCTCCATGCCCAGAGCCTCCCCTGTGATGCCGTGGCCATCCCTTGCTCGGAGTGCCTGGAGAAACCTGGCTGCTGATTTTCCAGCACGTCTCCTAACTCTCCAGGGTTTTTTGTCTTCCCAGGACAAACGCCGTGCTGGAAAGATCCCAGTCATTTTAGGAGCGTGTATTATCCATAATCCCTTTCCATGCTTCCCGCTGGCTCAGTGCTCATTCATTCCTAAGCAGAGCAATGTCCCCAGGATGCTGGGGTGCTTCCTCTGCCTTTCTGGAATGGGGATCAGCTCCGCAGCCCCTGACCGGCACCGTGTGTCTTGCAGGCCCGTGGAGATGGCGACGGAGAAGCCAAATCACTCTGGTTCAAAGGCGGGTGAGTGAGGGACGGGGCGACAGGCGAGGAGGTGAGTGGCTCGGGGTGGCACTGATCCCTGGGCCGAATGCATCGGGTCACCTGGAGGCATTCGGAGGGGACCCAAAATCCCCCCAGAATCACACTGAGCCCAGGGTGTCTGCTCAGGAAACCTGGTTTTCCCGCAGGCCGGAGGCTGCGGATCAGCATCTCGCTCCAAGCATGGCCCTGGCCCTTCAGCAGAAAACCCCGTCTATTCTGCTCTGTGCCACAAAGCCAAAGCAAAATGAGCCCCAAACGCTCCTTTTTAGAAGCATTTCACTGCCTCACATTGTACAAGCCATGGGGACGGCGACAGCTCCCTGACAGCATCCATCCCCTTTTCCTGCCATCCAGCATCCCTGTCTCTGCCCTGGCGGGCGGGCGATGGAGCCAGGCGGCCTTGAGCTCCCGGCAGGCGCCGCCGGATGCCGCATCCCGAGCAGGGGCCGGTGCTCGGGGGGCCCTTGCGGCTGGCCCTGGCCCCGCCCCC